CTGCCTTGAGGCACTTTGTCAAACACTCCTGGAACCAGTATGTGGTTGACACTTTGCACACAGACATGTCTGACATCACCAAATTCTACATGAGTGAGCGTGGCTCCTGCTTCTGGGTGGCCGAGTCTGAGGGGCAGGTCGTGGGCACAGTGGGAGCAAGGCCCTTAGAGGAGTCCAGCCTGTGCAAGAAGCAGTTGCAGCTGTTTCGCCTAAGTGTGGCCTTGGAGCGCCGGGGTGAGGGGATAGCGAAAGCCCTGGTCAGGACTGTCCTCCAGTTTGCGCGGGACCAGGGCTACAGTGAAGTTGTCCTCTTCACCACCACGATACAGCACTCTGCTGTAGCCCTCTACCAGCGCCTTGGCTTCCACAAGGCACACCAGCACTTCCATTCCAAGATGTGGGCGCTAATGTCTATCGCTGAGATACAATTCAGCTACCCGCTTCCCTCGGCTCAGGCCTCTCAGGCGCCGCAGCAGAAAGGGGGCCTGTGATCCATTTCCTTGTGGATTCAACAGGAGAGGATGAGCTCTGTGGCAGTTACAAGCTAACGCTGAACTCTCACTGTGACAGCACAGGAAAAGCTTGTTGCTCCTTCACATCCCAACTCAACAGGGCTGCTGGTGTCACGGCTCTAGTCAGCCTTGTTGGGTTGTGATTGTTTCATTGATCTAGTGCCACAAGAGTGTAAAATAATAATAAACATTGACTTAGTTCATGAGTCTGTGGATCAGTAGTTTGTGCTGGACTTGGCTGAGCATCTCCTTTGGTGTTGTCCTTGTTCACATGTGTGGGGGTGGCTGAAGTGACAGGGTGACTGGGTATTTTCATGTTCCAGCAGGCTTGCTCAGACATGGTTTCAAGGTATTTGCAGATGAACCACAGTAAAGCAGAAACAAGCAAATGCTTTTTCAAGTCACTATAGGTCTCACATCTACTAACATCCCAGACTCAGTGGTGAGAAAGGGACCTGCCTCTTCAGCGAGAGAAGATGCAGAGTCACATGGCAAAGGGACTTGGAAAAGTGTGGGATGATTCCAAGTGAGTAGCACTGGGGCCACTGATGCCATCAATCTGCTTTCATCATTTATTTAAAAAATTATTTTATTACTTTTTAAAGTCATGCCTTTTAAAATTTTTAATTTTTCTTCTGTTGACATTTTAAATATTTTAATTTAGGCTTTTCAATTCCAAGCTATATATTCTACAAATTTCTTGATGTTTGTGATTTTTATTTCTTATAAGCTATAATTCTTTTCATTATATTACATTTATATTTTTACTGTGAAACATATACCTAATATGAAATTTGGCATTTTCATCATACAATTGAGTGGCATTAATACATTCACATAGATGTATAATGATGTATAACCATCACCACTATTCGTTTCTAGAACATTGTCATCAACCCAAACACAACTCTGTACCCCTTAGACAATAAGTCCCTGTTCCCCCTCCCCCAGCCCCTAAAAATTGTTATTTTATTTTCTGTGTCTATGAATTTGCCTACTCTGGGTACCTCATATAAATGGAATCATACAATATTTGTTTTATTTCTTTTTGCCCTTTACCCTAAACGACTGTTCTTAAACTTTCATCACATTGAATTTGTATCTATTTTCATCTTAATTTAAAATTGGTTTTATGACAGTGCTTTTTGCTTTGTTGTGCTGGCAGTGTCACTTCATAAGGAAGGCTGCCCTCCTGCCATCCACTTCTCTTTGAAGTCATCTCCTTGGTGCCCTTCAATGAATCTATCTTCTTCAAGGATGACTTTCCAAAGAAGTCTCCCATATAACTTGAGACAGACTCAAAATCCTTCCCAGGCATGTAGCACCTTGCGTTGCCTCGAGGCCACTGGGATTCTCTCAGTCTGGTCTCTCCTCTTTCACTGGCAGTATTTCTCTAAGCCACATAGCAATTGGAAGGTTTTGTCCTGCTGTTACCCCTCCATGTGTCCTGTTGTTGCCACCTTCCACTTAAAGGCAGCCCTCTGGCACCTGTGGACTAAGGTTCCCAGATTAAATAAAGAATACCCCAATAAATTTGAGTTTCACATAAACAGTGGGGTTTTTCTTAGTGTAAATATGTCTCACATAGCACAGGACAGACTTACACTAAAACATTTGTTCATCTAAAATTCAAATTTAACTCGGAGTCCTGTACTTTATTTGCTGTATCTGGCAACCCTACTGTGGACATTACCCAGAATTCCAAGCCCGAGTCCAGTCCATAAGCTGCCACCTTTTCACTCCAAATCTAGGAGAAGTATGGACCACACTCTTTCCCCTTTGCCTTTCCCTGCAGGCTCTGCAGTAGGAAAGACTGGGTTAATCTGTGATGCTTTACTCACCATAGGACCAGCGCCAGTACAGAAAGGCGTCACAATGCAGGTGCATGACTCCAGACTGGGCAGGCCTTCATCACTTGAAAGCTCAATATGCATTTCCTGCAGTTGGAGAAGCTCATTGGACTCACACCAGAGAAACCTTTAGCTTCCCCAGAAAGCTCATCTGGGCCTGTTTNAGTTACCACAATGTATCCAGCCAACCGTCTATTTCCCTGGATGTAGCTGCTACCATCAGTAGTATTCTACATCCGGGTCCATAAGAGGTTGGTCAGTCAGGTACGGCCTCCTGGAGAACACTTCGTCCATGACTTCGATGCAGTCATGGTCTGGGGGCCCAGGCCCTATAGGCAGTAAAGTGGCTGGGTTTAAGGTCCGTACCGCCTCAAGGCAGACTCGTGGGTTTTCACATAGTAGCCCTAGGTACTTGGCAATCCGGGAGTTGGTGAGCCAATAGTGTCCCTTATGATCTAATAGGGCTCGAACTGAGTGTGGAGCCCAGACAGTTAATTCCTGACCCAGGGTCAGCATGTCAGCCTCAGACACAAGGAGGACCATTGCTGCAAGTGCCCTCAGGCAAGGTGGCCATCCTAATGCCACTGAGTCAAGTTGTTTTGAGAGATAGGCTACCGGCCAGTGCCAATCCCCTCGCAGTTGGGTAAGGACCCCTACTGCCGTTCCCGTGCATTCATGTACGTAGAGGAAGAAAGGCTTGGCGATGTCCGGGAGTCCTAGGCCAGGGGCATGAGTGAGAGCCCCTTTAAGCTCATTAAAAGCTCTCTGTTGTGGAGACTCCCAAAGAAAAGATTAATGTTCATCCCCCTTTGTGGCTTCATAAAGGGGTTTGACTATAGTAGAGAAGTTAGGGACCCAGATCCTACAGAAGCCTGCTGCCCCTAAGAATTCACGAACCTGTTTCCGAGTAGTGGGGACAGGGATGGTACGTACCGCCTGCTTCCTTCTGGGCCGAGCTGGCATTGTCCTTGTGACAGGTGGAAACCAAGGTATTTGACCCTGTTTTGGCATATCTGAGCCTTTTTCTTGGAGACCTTGTAGCCTGCTTCCCACAAAAGCTTAAGGACGTGATATGTACCCTGCATGCAGTCATCGTAGCTCTTCCCAGCTAGTAAGGGGTCGTCTACATATTGGAGCAGTACACAACCGGTTTGGCTGGCTGGAAAGGGCTTTAGGTCTGAAGCCAAGGTGTCCCTGAAAATGGTTGGGAGTTCTTGAAGTCCTGTGGTAGCCTTGTCCATGTTAGCTGGCCTTTGTCCCCATTTTCAGGGTTTTCCCACTGGAAGGCGAAGAGTGGCTTGCTCTGAGGGCCAGATGAATACCGAAGAAGCCATCCTGAGGTCCAGACAGGTGAAGTGGGTTGCTTCAGCTGGGATGAGTCCCAGAAGAGTATATGGATTGGGGACAAATGGGTGTAGAGTAACCGTTGCTTGGTTTACTGCTCTCAGGTTCTGCACTAGACAGTAATCTTCAGTCTCCAGCTTTTGGACTAGAAGCAGAGGTGTGTTCCAAGTTGACTGGCAGGGACGAAGAACCCCATATTTTAGGAGTCTGTCCAAATGTTTTTGGATGCCTACTCGTGCATTGTGGGGAATGTAATATTGTTTGTGGCGCACTGGTTCTGCCCCAGGTTTAACCTCTACAACTACTGGGGCCGCATGTCGTTCCAGGCCTGGTGGGTTGTCTTCTGCCCAAACTCCTGGTATTGAGAAGGGGAGTTTGGGTCGCTCTTGGACCTCTTCTGCAAGACCAAAGAGTCACCATCCTTCCTCCTGAGGTATGGTGAGGGATATAATCTTAGCCCCTGATTTGCCCAGTGTTAGCTCAGCATTGCCACTGTGGTTAAAGGCGATTTGAGCCTGCAGTTTTCCCAGTAGATCTCTCCCCAATAATGCTACAGGGCAGTCTGGCAAGTAGAGGAACTTAGTAATTCCTCAGCCTCCCAGGGTGCATTGTCGAGGTTGTAAAAAGGGCCGACAGACTCGTCCTCCCGTGGCACCCATGATGGTGACCTGCTTTTGGGAGAAGGGGCCTATGGACTGTATCACAACAGAAT